GGGTCCACTCAGCCTCGTGAGGAAAACTGAGGAGCTATTTCAAGGAAATAGCAGCTCAGGTCTAGAAAACCGGAATTAACGACCATGGGGATTCATTGCGCTGACCACGTGACACCTATATCCGCAAAAGTTGGCAACAAACTTCGCCGGCAGAGAAGCACAATAGACCACTGTAGGTCGCCGTGCAAGGGCCGGGAAGTCCTACCCCTCATACATTCATTCATACATTCAACTTCGCCAGCAAGCGACGGTCCCTCGGTCGGTATAGTTCGCTTGCGGACTACAGGACACGGAGTATGTTGTTTATTTGGTGCCTTTCTTATAGCGGGACCATTAAAATGTGTTTATTCTTATTTTGTGCAATGGTAACGTGGAACGCAGCCCTTTTTCAGAAACTTTTTTTTATTGCTAGCGGGGTGGGACTAAGTCTCTTGTACTGCGGCCACTTCTGGCCTATTGTCTGGGGCAGATGATAGGTGAGGGTGATTGTGGAACAATTGATGGAATGAAGATTGGCAGGGGAAACTGAAGTACTCGGAGAAAACCTACCCCAGTGCCACTTTGTCCACCAAAAATCCCACTTGACCAGACCCGGGATCGAACCCGGGCGGCCGCGGTGGGAAGCCAGCGACTAACCGCTTGAGCTATGGCGCGACTTTTTGAGAAACTAAGTCACTTAGTGAAAATTTCCCGACTTTTATTGAACCCGAAGGTTTGTTATCACAATCGTTAATACCCCACTCCGAGTCCTGTCTAAAATCTTGTAACACTTTAGTTCTGTATGGTGAGGGTTTGCTAGACACTCCCAGACGGACTCCCTTGTCGGCTGTGTACGACTGCTTATTCAGTAAATTCGCACCTACCGCCTGTGTCCAGAAGTCATCTCCTCCAGCTGCGATCTGAAGACTCCTCATGCGGTGCTAAAAGCGGGGACATATGACACTGATTGTCTCATGTTACGTAATTCTTCAATGCATCCCATTAAGTTTCAGAGTACTTCAGTTTAAAATATAATATCTATATTGTCACATGTAGGGTGGTACGCGTGACTAGAATGACGGGTTCTAGTTCGGATGATTGGATTTATTAGCACCTTGGTTACAAATTCAGCGCTATCGCCGATTTACACAATTTACGGTTCACCGTTGCACACGCACTGGGATCCTTAGTCTTCACCAGTCGTCTTCTGGTAACAGAATTAAGACAGTCACACTATGACGAAATATTCTAATCACACACCAAGTCATCACAGGCCGACTTCTTATTCTTCTTTTACGATGAACCTTCCATGGTTATCTTCCACCGAAAACTCAGAACTGCCTCGTAGCACCGTTATTCTTCAAGATAATTCCTTTGCACGGACCCCACGGAAAACACCGCCTTCCATTGCTATGTATGCATGTTTACTGCTTCGTTGCCTGGCAGTAGACGTCCTACAGTTCCGTGAGCCAGCCCGGCGCGGAGCGTATTAAAAACACAGTTTCCCTTCTATTGCTGTCTGTATTCGTGATTACAAAGCTGTTGCCTGGCAAAGCGTTGATCAACTCCGTTACAATATAATTTTTATTTTCTTCCGGTTATTTACCACATCGCTATTAAATTAGCGTAGAGAAAAACATATTAATAAATTTAGTTAGGGTGTAAGTGAATATTTTCTGAAGCTTAAATTTAAATGGGAGAAGGACTAAATAAAACAATAAAAAGACGAGAATACTCAAATGGGAATTATGAAAATTAAATGACGTAAATTCAGTATTCTGATATTCCCGTAAATAGATCTGAGTGAATTAATCTGACGATCGCGTAGAGATCCAGCCTGACGTCTAGAGGGTGCAGGTCCTATGACATGACCGCAACATTTTATTTATTCAGCAAATTGTCAAGAGCTCCTTCCACTTAACCTGCAGCAGTTCATATGTTGATGTTTCGCGTTTTTTTTTTTTCAATGGCACTACAGCCCCAGTGGGCCTAGGCCTACCTCCATGAACTTCTCCGTTTACTTCAGTTTTTCTAGATCTTACACATTCGGTAGGACTCCTTGGCCGAGTAATCAGCTCGTCGCAAGGCCTCTACCTGTAGACAAACACAGAAAACGCACGCAAACATCCATGCCCTGAGTGGGATTCGAACCCACTGAGCCATGTATTGGCTCCGGTATGACGTCATGGGCTTCCAGTCCCTTGATCGAGGTTCTTAAACTTATCCCCCACCCCATCCCCATGCGGGACTGGGTCACGTGGTGTTGCCCTCTCCCCTCCTTTCTACCCCTGGGAGCCTTGCTTGGAAGTTAATTCGAGTTCGGAGGACAGTTTTGGTTATGGATTCATAGGGCCTTGCTCGCGGCGCCGAGCCAGCCGGAGTGATTCTCAAATTCCTCTTCGGCTGGGAGTCCAAAATTGGTTTCGGCAAGTAGTGGGCTGGTTTGCGGCCGGCAAGATCGCCCGCAGTCGCCCGTCGTTGGGTTTGTAGTATGGCGGCAACTTGTACCAGTTTAGTTAAACCTGTGTTTATAATTTATATTGTGTATTTTGTTTAGACCCAGCTTGTGGCCCGGCTAGAAAGTAGTAGTTATGTTTTCATGCAACCAAGGCAAATTGTTGCGCCAGTAAATGTGGGCCATTCTGCCCGAGTTAGATGCCGCTGTGTGCGAGCATGTAAATGTGCAATTAGTTGAGTTGTTCTGTTTAATTTCTGTTGTGTTTATTAAATTCTGTTATTTGTTAATATATTCATTGCCATCATTTGTAACTAGATTTACCACCCTGCTAGCTTGGATCCCTTACTCTAACTTAGGGAGCGTGCGAGCACAGCACGAGAGCCGTATGACGGAGCACCGTTTCCCCCTCCGATTGAGGAAAGGTAGACGGAGCCGAAAGGTGCCACAGAGTGACGGTGCTGTGGTAGCAGACCGTAAGAGCGGACGAGCGGCACACCACGATCCCGGCTTCCGAGCGAGCGAAGACAGTGCATGCCTTAGACCGCTCGGCTACAGTGACCGGCAGTGTATAAGAATATATAAGAAATCAGTTCGTACCTCACAGGAAACATCCGAACCCACGATTCCGGCTTCCGAGCGAGCGAAGACAGTGCATGCCTTAGACGCCTTAGACCGCTCGGCTACAGTGACCGGCAGTGTATAAGAATATATAAGAAATCAGTTCGTACCTCACAGGAAACATCCGAACCCACGATTCCGGCTTCCGAGCGAGCGAAGACAGTGCATGCCTTAGACGCCTTAGACCGCTCGGCTACAGTGACCGGCAGTGTATAAGAATATATAAGAAATCAGTTCGTACCTCACAGGAAACATCCGAACCCACGATTCCGGCTTCCGAGCGAGCGAAGACAGTGCATGCCTTAGACGCCTTAGACCGCTCGGCTACAGTGACCGGCAGTGTATAAGAATATATAAGAAATCAGTTCGTACCTCACAGGAAACATCCGAACCCACGATTCCGGCTTCCGAGCGAGCGAAGACAGTGCATGCCTTAGACGCCTTAGACCGCTCGGCTACAGTGACCGGCAGTGTATAAGAATATATAAGAAATCAGTTCGTACCTCACAGGAAACATCCGTACCCACGATCCCGGCTTCCGAGCGAGCGAAGACAGTGCATGCCTTAGACCGCTCGGCTACCGTGACCGGCAATGTTTCACTGTTACCTTTCTCTCACTGTTATTTATTGGTCTGCTATATTCGTCTACGTAGACGTTGGACGCTATTTCGGAAATTCTTTTTCTTCTTTTGCGTTGCTACGGATGTCTTGGGCTTGGTCTAATTGTTATCCGCAGAAAACAACGGGGTCTCAAGGGTGACGGGAGTGACATCAGTGAAGTACGATGAAAAGATATATACTTCTTCCAGATTTTAAGAATTTAATGAAATTATATATGATTATGATTATCTTAATAGAGATTTGCCTCACATTAATTAAGCAGTCTTTCTTGCCTTTATGAAATTGGGATTTGCTAATGATCATTATTCATTCATCCCTCTTACAGATTATGTGCTTCTTGTGAATATATTTTAGGCAGTCTGAGTATAGTGTTGAAAATCGAAAAATTTGTTATATTTTTTATGAAAGAATAACGCCCTTTATATATAATTTTACAGTCAGTTTACCGAAATTCTTCTTCACTCTATCTCACAGAAGTAGGAAAGGAATATAATATCCATACTATGTCAGATATTATCGCTCACTCAACATTTAACAACTCAAATACGTGTATAAACTTATCAATCCTCTCTACTTTATGACAGTTGTTTGTTCAGCGTTTCTCTGTATGACAGCCGTGGGTCTTAGGGGACCTTCAAGCTGTCTTTAGCTGTCTAGTTTTAAATACATATATAAGGAAAGACCATAATACTCACAAACACGAAATTTCATCTGAAAGTATTTTACGAATACATTAAGTTCCATCAGTAATTAATTATCTATTTAAATACTTAAGCTACAATTGAAATAATTTTTATAATTTTTTGTAACTCTAGCATTTATATTCACGCGACTGGAGACTCACACTGCAAGCGTCTGCGAATCGCTGGCTCTTCGGTTATTTCAAAATATTGAATGAATTTTTAAGATTATATAGCTGCTCCGGTCTAGAAAACCGAAATTAACGGCCGTGGGGATTCGTTGCGTCGCCCACACGACACCCTCAATCCGCTAAAGTTGGCACTAACTTCGCCGACAAGCGGCGGTCGCTTGGTCGATATAGTTCGCTTGCGGACTAAAGTCGCGGAGTTCTTGTATCGTAAAATAAAAATTGGTACGGTGATATAAATTATGATTTTTAAAGATTTTTGTGTTATCTAAGACAATATGTGATTGTTTTCCTTGAGATACTAAAAAAAAAATTCTCGGGATATCGGGAATATACGTCGGATATAACATAGTCCCTCGACCAAAATTTAGAGGTATTCTAGCTTATCCGCTTTCCGGAGAATATTCATGTATTCCGTAATGCCGTTATCAGTGCCATAAGAAGCAGAATGTTTTACTAAGAGGCTTGCTGAAATGAAGTCATTGATAGTCATTTCAGTCTACTGACCGAATCTAGTGCCGCAGTTGACGTGGTACTCACTCGTTCTCAGGACTAGTATAAATTAAAGCCTTGGTGGACCAAACCGGCTAAGGAATCATATCGGCAGGTTGTACCAGCAAAAAATTAAACTTTGCTTGACCAAGAGTCATGCTGATAGTAAAGCGATTCTTGTTATTCTTGATTTGTGGCTCAGTTCGTTCAGAGAAATTTCAAGTAGTTCCTTATACCACAGACTGTCGAGTATGGTTCCTTATACACTACATATACATGGTGTTTCACGACTTCAGGGCATAACTGAAGGAGATCATTTCCTAGGTCTTTGTGATCAAAAAATTTCATATAAACGTGTGTGATTTTGGACGGTTACAGAGTTATGACCGTTATTTCATTCCCGTACACGCCTTCGTGTGAACCGCTTCTATCATCTGACGGGTCGCTATTTTTAGCCAGCTACAGACAGAGCGTTCTCGTTATGTCGACACTTGAGAGCTACCTAAGGCGTGGTGGGTTGGTATGTACCCGCGCGGTTCACAACCTAGAGGCAGCCTGTGTTGCGGCCGGCGGAGGCATTTCCGAAAATCAGCTTTAAGCACCAATAAATTCAAATTAAAGGTAATTTCACGAAGTTAACTTTACATTCATACTTTAAATGTATTTTAAACGCTGGTTTATTATTGTGTTCTGTTTATTGTCAGTAATTGTTACCTTCTATTCTGAGTTTAAAGCGGTCATAACTCCGTAACCGTCCAAAATCCGGACACATGTTTATACGTTTATATAGTGGGAAAAGCAAAAGGCTCCTGAAGAAGGAGGGAAACTTGACATGAAGTTCCAAGCGGCCACCGGAAGAAGTGCTGTGCAGATGGAGTGCATAAAAAAAATACGTTACCTCTGCTGGACACTGAGAATACAGATTGTTGGTCTAGAAGAAAATAAGTTGTTGGTTGTGAGAAACTGTTATGGCTGTTATGTGTATGCTGAAATAAGTAAATTAGAAATTGGACCACGACCAAAAAATGCAGTTATGCCTTCAAAGGGTTACTTATTTTAGAAGCAGAGAGGAAACACAACAGCTGAGCATGAGAAAGGAAATATCAGAACATAAAAAGGTAGCATGTCGTAAAAAAATGGGGAAATACACAAATTTAAGCAAAGAAAATATATTTGGAAGCAGGAATTAACAAAATATAAAGTAACGTAAAATTGAGCAAATATAAATTACAGGGTGTTAAGAGAATTTTTTGTACCTCCTACATAATGGAAAAAATGAATAGGCCATTTACAGAATAGCAATAGATGCTAAATTTTGAACATGAGCAGGGTGTTATATTTCAATTCAGCTGTACCAATATTATTGTCCATATAGCCCAGGAAATGAGAAAGAAAACGGTAAAATATTTACTTGAAAACCATATCGACATAGGTGTTTTGGTAACAGGTAACAACAAACCAGTATTGGTGATTTCCCTAAGATATGCCATGTCATGTAATTCTCCTTTCCAGACTTTCTATTTGGGATCCAACGGAACAACAGCTACAGCAGCTGCCTCCATACGAGATGCCATTTTGCCCATCTTGAGCGCCCATGATTTAACTGAATATCTTAGAGATAATTACTTTGGGTTTTCTTGTGGCGGGACTTCGATAAATTTAGAGGAAAATTAAGTTGCTCCTAGACTGCAGAAAATATCACAAAATTAATAATTTGGCTCCCTAAAAATCAGAGACTGGAACTGGCAGTGCATGAAACCATGAATGAAGTCAAACTTATAAACAGTTTTCATGCCTTCTTTGACAAACTGTATTCTAGATACAGTTTATCTCAAAAGAAATCTATTGCAGCTCAGTCAGAGTGTATGGATATTAGGTGTAAAATGTGGATAATATTTACCTTAATATGGGTTCATGGATACTGAAAGCCGTGAAAGCAACTTGATACGGCTACAGACCCCTTGAAGACCACTTAACATAAGCTGTTACAAATGCAACAAGAGAGAATGAGTACGTCCAACAACAGTAGAGACCGAGAGGCTGCACCAGGAAACAAAATGCAACAGCACTACTCACGATTTCAAAGTAGATCTGCTGGCTCATCTTGATGATTTTCTTAAATACTTCTTGACCATACTCTCCTCTGGGCCCGAAGAAGCAGGAGCAGGCGACGCGGAAGAACATTTGACATTCTGGGGCAGCATTGGTAATGGACTTAATGTTCGTCACATCTGCATCAACACAAAAATGTAAGCAAAGTTTTCTATAAATTTGCAACTTTAACCACATCTGTGGTCTCGTGGTCAGCGTTCCTGGCTACAGATCTCGAGGTCCGGGTTCGATTCCCGCCACTGTCAATTTTTTTTCTGAGAATTAATGGGTCTGGAACGGGGTCCACTCAGCCTCGTGATGATAAATGAGGAGCTATTTCAAGGAAATAGAGGCTCCGGTCTAGAAAACAGAAATTAATGGCCGTGGGGGTTCGTTGCGCTGACCACGCGACAGCCTCTATCCGCAAATGTTGGCGCTATACTTCGCCAACAAGCGGCGGTCGCTCGATCGGTATAGTTCTCTTGCGGACTAAAATCATGGAGTTCCTTTTTTGTTTGTTTTGCGTCTTTAGTTCCAGTTACTGCAAGACAGTTACTTATCACTTTCAGGTTTGTAACAAATGTACCGTCCGTCGTATTAATCACTACATTAAGTACCTATTCGTCCTTTATTAGTTGTCAGTTTTGCAGTTAATTTTGTTTACTTCTGAGTACACACATATATGAATGTTACATTCACTCCCTAATGGGCCGCGCCATAGCTCAAGCGGTTAGTCGCTGGCTTCCCATCGCGGCGGCCCGGGTTCCATCCCAGGTGTGGTCAAGTGGGATTTGTGGCGGAAAAAGTGGCGCTGGGGCAGGTTTTCTCCGAGTACTTCGGTTCCCCTGCCAATCTTCGTTCCACCAATTGCTCCACAATCACCCTCACCTATCATCTGGGGCTGGTACAATAGGCCAGAAGTGGCTGCAGTAAAAGGGACTTAGTCCCACCCCACTAGAAATAAAGAAAAATACATTCGCTCTTTTGGAAATTTGTTTAGAAGAGCAGACTTTTGAAAACACACGATTGGTTATGAAGTCGGTGAGCCCAGCTTAACTGACACATTTAATACAAATTCAGCGGTACTCTGGGCTCATAAAAGATTCGTGGGACAATTAACATTTTGTTTTATCCTGGTTTATTGGGCACTGTACTTAAGTTCATGAATTAACATATAATCTATACTGAGTAAAAAAAAAAGTAAGTAAAGGTATCCCTGTAACAGGCCATGGAGGCCCATAGGGTTGTGAGATTCTGAGGTTCCCACATTTTCTAGACAATCGGCTCAGAGACGGCGGCAAGGTTGTCAGCCCTGAGCGCCGGCCGCCCTTTACCCCCAAGAATATTCCTGGTACTCATTTCTGTTAGAGGCTGATTCGACCTTAGGGCCATAGTGCGGTTGGAAGGATTAGGTAAACTGAAAAAATCCAATGACCTCATCGGGACATTCCGGCTTGTAGCATAGTGTTTCAACCAACTACGCTACCGTGTGCCCCCACCTATACTGATTGCATGGCGAAATGTTGTGACATGATTGCTGAAAACCGGAAGTGTTTAACAAGAACAATCGTGCATTGTTAGGCAACGACCGACAAACACGTTTCCACGGCAACCGAAGACCGCTCCCGCAACAACGTATACGCACGTAGCAATATGACTATTGGAGGCTAAGAGATACAGCGACAGGGTTTCCTCAAGGCAGTCCTTGCCCCAGTACACGTATTGTACAGTCTATATACAAACCGTGACCCCGCTGCTCCTAGAACACAGCCTACTCTGTTAGCGGGCGATACTTGTTTTCACGCAACAGAGGAACATAGATGTCGTGTTCTCTGCAAACTCCAACGTGGCCTCGCTGCAGTGAATTGGTAGGCTGAGGGCTGGTACGTAAAGAAAGAACTCAGGCCATCTATTTCTCCAAAAGACTTAGAGATACTGGTATCGTTCTACAAATAAACGGACAGTTCATATCTCTTGTAAATAATGTAACGTGTGTTGATGTCACCTTGGACAAGAGGCCGACATGGAAACACCATATCTAAAGGACTGTAGCCAGGGCCTTGAACACGTAGTGTACGTAAAGACCTGTTCCTTATTCAAAAGTGGGCGTATGTATATATTACGATTCTCAAAGCTCTGATTGTTGTCAGCCTGGGAGCATGTGACGGACGCTCACCTCTTGACACTGCAGCGCCTGTAGAAAACACCACTCCTAGCTATGGTAAAGCCCTACAGACGCAAACCGGTCCGCGAATTGCTCGTGGAATTCAAAATTCCTGACATCACGACTACTAAAGTACGTATATGTAGGACACAGGCAGAAATAATCACATCATAGCAATGATTTGAACTGGGGAACCTTGACACAACGCAGGCAGATAGCTCGTATATGCGCTCTCTTCAACAGGTGATAGATTACAAAGGCCATGCTATCTGAGCAGGGGCGATCATGACAAGAAAATTAGGAGCATAAAGAAACGGACAGATATCGGAAAATACTCATTATCAAATAGGATCATACAGATCTGGAACAAACTACCTTCAGATGCTTTAGGGACTCTCTCCTGTAAACAAAGTAATTTTAAGGAAAGGGTTAAGAAAGTGATACATAAAGTGAAGAGAAGGTGTGGGGGAAATCATCAAATAATGCAGTGAAGTGAAGTGAAAAGTGAAGTGAAAAGTGAAGTGAAAAGTGAAGTGAAAAGTGAAGTGAAAAGTGAAGTGAAAAGTGAAGTGAAAAGTGAAGTGAAGTGAAGTGAAAAGTGTTAAGGATGGGAGGATTACGTAAGTGTAGTAAAGCGAAATGAAGGGAAAATGAGAACATGGCATTATGCATTCATTGCTGTTAGTTAATTATATAGTATGTTTCACTTTTCATTTGTATGCTGTGTTTATTTGTGTGCTATGTTTTGTTTGAACGTGTTCATGTGTGTTATTTGTCTGTTGTCGTATTGTAGTACCACTGCCACCAGGTGAAAACCCATTTGCAGTTAAATAATAATAATAATAATAATAATAATAATAATAATAAACCATGTAAATCCAAAAGTACATGGTGTTGGATGAGGAAAAGCCATGCATGGGAAGTATAAGAGACTTAAACTTGGCGACGGTCAGGCCTACTACTTTTCTAGTTATTAACTGCCCTTTCGGAGTGGTATAGCAAATCAAGGCATTATCTGCAGCAGCATCCTGTATTGACGGATATATTGTGTATGCCTTGCATAGATAATATTCATTGTAGTAAAATGACTAATCTTGTGTGGTATCCATAAGGTACGAATGTTAATGCCTTTACCTGAACGCTGCGCAAATGAGGATAAACTCGGGAGCAATTACGGCGAAACAAAGGGGGCGCCTACTCAGAAAAACAAACCCCTACTCTCATCGAAGAGGCGATCCAATTTTCAAACACATAAACGGTCTATGCATTAGTTTATGCATTCCGACGGGGCCCAAGAACAAGAACGAATATGAAGAAAGCAGTCTTCTGAGATTTGGCACCGTGTATATGTGGTGTTAACCGACGTTTCACAGTCTGCTTTTACCGGTTCTCACGGTCTCTCCGCTTGCAGATTTCTTATATTTTTTCTTCTACCCTGAAGATGGAGGCGATACGTTCCTCCGAAACGTCGGTTAACACCACATATACACGGTGCCAAATCCCAGAAGACTGCTTTCTTCATAGTCACCACCGTGAAAGCCTCAAATCTTACAAGAACGAATATACTGGCGAAGGCCAGCGAAGATTTACTGGACAGGGCCGGACTGGAATAGAAAGTTGTTTATTTATGAGACAGTCGCTAGCCTGTAAGATTGTAAGTATGGAAACAGATGAATATACTGTGACATGACGCCTGAAAGCCGGAATACAGGAGCCAGAGTAGACGTTCATTTCTAGGCAACGACTCGATAAACAGATTCTGGCGTAAATGAACAAGGACGCAGCAATATAAGAATTACCATTTCTATGAAANTGCTGTGTTTTATTTGTGTGCTATGTTTTGTTTGAACGTGTTCATGTGTGTTATTTGTCTGTTGTCGTATTGTAGTACCACTGCCACCAGGTGAAAACCCATTTGCAGTTAAATAATAATAATAATAATAATAATAATAATAATAATAAACCATGTAAATCCAAAAGTACATGGTGTTGGATGAGGAAAAGCCATGCATGGGAAGTATAAGAGACTTAAACTTGGCGACGGTCAGGCCTACTACTTTTCTAGTTATTAACTGCCCTTTCGGAGTGGTATAGCAAATCAAGGCATTATCTGCAGCAGCATCCTGTATTGACGGATATATTGTGTATGCCTTGCATAGATAATATTCATTGTAGTAAAATGACTAATCTTGTGTGGTATCCATAAGGTACGAATGTTAATGCCTTTACCTGAACGCTGCGCAAATGAGGATAAACTCGGGAGCAATTACGGCGAAACAAAGGGGGCGCCTACTCAGAAAAACAAACCCCTACTCTCATCGAAGAGGCGATCCAATTTTCAAACACATAAACGGTCTATGCATTAGTTTATGCATTCCGACGGGGCCCAAGAACAAGAACGAATATGAAGAAAGCAGTCTTCTGAGATTTGGCACCGTGTATATGTGGTGTTAACCGACGTTTCACAGTCTGCTTTTACCGGTTCTCACGGTCTCTTCGCTTGCAGATTTCTTATATTTTTTCTTCTACCCTGAAGATGGAGGCGATACGTTCCTCCGAAACGTCGGTTAACACCACATATACACGGTGCCAAATCCCAGAAGACTGCTTTCTTCATAGTCACCACCGTGAAAGCCTCAAATCTTACAAGAACGAATATACTGGCGAAGGCCAGCGAAGATTTACTGGACAGGGCCGGACTGGAATAGAAAGTTGTTTATTTATGAGACAGTCGCTAGCCTGTAAGATTGTAAGTATGGAAACAGATGAATATACTGTGACATGACGCCTGAAAGCCGGAATACAGGAGCCAGAGTAGACGTTCATTTCTAGGCAACGACTCGATAAACAGATTCTGGCGTAAATGAACAAGGACGCAGCAATATAAGAATTACCATTTCTATGAAACGGTGAGATAAACACGCATTTGTAAAAATAGAAAATAGATAGGAAACGGTGTTTTCTCTTGAGACCATCACAATGGTATGTATATCGAGGGTTCAAGGAAGGCTGAATAGAACTGAGGCAGTCACTTGAGTCGGCCGCCGAAGACGGAGAAGAGAACACAGTGCGTCATATTGAGGTTTGTGAAGCGTAGCAAGAAGTTGTGTAAGGCTGCAATAAATTAGGTCATCAATCCAAGACCCGTCTATAAGTCACTCACACCTCAAAATACGTGACAATACACTGCTCACAGCCGCTACTTAACAATAACCAGTGAAGACTATAACAAATTGAGACTTAACGTGTGCTACAGGGATATGTGGAGTGTGGTTGTTATAATCCTATGTACTTATGAGTTACAAGTTTTCGATAAATCCCATTATCAGTCAAATTCCTGTGTCTGGATACTAACACGTGACAACTGGTGCCAGAAGTGGGATTTACCGGTATAACTGGATTTGGTTGGACTGACTGAGTAGGACTGAAGACTGCACTAGGTAGTTATATCGTCTTATAACAAGATGGTCCAGTAATAGCCTCCTTGCCGAAATATGGGGAAAAGTACAGATGCTGGAGCCCGGATAAGAAGCTATGAAGGTCCGTCAGGAGGAGCCTGACTCCATTCAAACAAAGTTAGGGGCCCAGATGGAGCTCTGCGAAGAACTGATGAGAACCATTCGTGACTGAATGAAAGCCGATGTGGGACGCTCTTTCTGACGAGAGGACGGATTACCGCTGTGCGTGTAATCTAAGTCCATTCTGTTGAAATACTAATTGAAGACTGCCGATTAGTCGGCATATGAATTCTACCGGCGGCATCTCGTATAGCAAATTAATTGGCAAGCATATAAATCCCTTCTAAATTTCATTAACACTAAACTGAAATAACGAAGTTTCTGTTACCAACGCCTTCACATAGCTCCCTGATTTCCAAATATTCACGACCCGGCTCCATTATAATCAACCAATAGCAATTGATCGGCTACTCCGCAGTCTGTCCCTGTACCGATTGAGCCATGCCGGTTCTCATTTCTCAAAATTGCATTTATTTATTCAACAAATCAGAGACAAAATCAATCCGTGACACGAGTCTAACTTCGTTGACTATCCCCCGATGATCGGGGACGAATGATCTCTTTGTTTTCAAGCCAAGCTTACCCAGGGGCGGTACGAGGTTGATCAATGCTCGCGGCATATTTTCCTGCAAGTAGCTGAGGGCGATCTCTAACTCCGTTCTGGTCTTCTCTGGTAAGATCGTCCAGTCTCGGTAACACATGTCTGAGCAGAAGTCGTTGTGGCCCATCAGCACAGTCACTATCTGTAACAAGAAGCGTCACAACTGAACAGAATGAAGATGAAAACTAAATGCAAATGGCGACGTGTTCTTAACAGCTACAAATCTCATTGTAAGTACACCTAATTGTAATGCGTGTTCACAAAGTTTTGTGAACCTTCATTTCACCGAGTATTGCTGCCTTGTAGGATGTGATGCGGTGTATTTTGGTAGATTCTTAATAAGAAAAATGATGCCTCAGTCTTCGAGATAGAAGAACAAGTAGAACTTAGAAGAAACTGGTAGAGACCATTCGCGCGTTACAGCAAAGGTTTGCGCTTGGTGCTTAGCGTACGGGTGATGTGATGAGACAGACCGAGCGGTTGGAAGGAACCGACATGCTGGGACAATTGTCTTCTCTCATTCTAAAAAGAACAGTTTGTGTTCCTGCGTCAGTATATTATTTCTTCAGTCTGAGTTGGTCTTCAGACATTAACTTCCATATTGTCACGCGTAGGGGCTTCGCGTGACGAAAATAACGGGTTCCAGATCGAATGATTGGATTGATTGGTACTTCGGTTACAAGTTCTCTTAATCACACATAATACAGGGCTATCTCTGATTTACACATTTTCCAGTCCACCTTTGGACACACATTAGGATTCTCAGTCTTCAGTAGTCGTCTCCTGGAAACGGATCTCAGCATAAAAATTAGGACTTCAAATCACTATGAAGTCTTCTTGACATTTCTTGTTCAATCACCCCGGAAACTCGGAATTCAACTAAAACTCCTCTTAACTGCAAGCGGACTTACTTTATATAGCTGCGGCACGGACAATACAGGAAACACAGTTCTACTGCAGACCACACAGAAAACACAAGTCACTTGATAGCTAAGCACTGTTGGGAATTACGTCATTGCCATGCATAAGCTTCACAGACACAAAGAAAACACTGCTGCTCTGTTGTGTGACATCAGCACCAATACGAAGTGTGATTATCGAGCCATTGCCTAGAAACGGGTTCCATAAACCCGTTTTTCTACTGTTGCGTGCGTGTATAAACTAGCAACGGCTGTTTCTGTGGTTCAGCCGTTCTTGCATGGAGCAGTTATGTCACAATATCATGCTACTTCATGTCCCTCATGGTTTCCTCTCCTGGTAATGCCAGAGTTCCGAACGAGTACTCTAATAAGAACGCAGAATTTGATGATAGCGGGAAACACAGCACAACTTGAACTCTGTAACTCCTTTCAAGCAATTAATCGGCCACCCTTCTTGTACGGTCTGTGAACGAGTCTAAATAGACGAACTGAAATCCTTCCTTCGCGCAGACGCCATATGATTGCAAGTCAAAGTGACATTGCGACTGACAGTCAGTCAGTCTGTCTGTCTTTGTGTCGAGCCCCGGCTGGGGCACATGACCAATTGTTTCTTTTTAAATGAAAGTTACTGTCCTGTCCATATGATTGCCAAGTCAAAGTCAAGTCAAAGTCGATTCAGTCAAAGTCAGAGTCACGTTGCAACTGACGGTCAGTCAGTCTGTCTTGGTGTCGAGCCCCAGCTGTGGCTCATGATCAGATATTTCTTTTGAATGAAAGTTACTGTCCTGTCCATGTGTAGCGCCCTCTCTGACGAGAGGTCGGGTCTGTCATTTGTCAGTCAGTCTGTATTAATAAGTCCATTGTCTGTATGTACACATATTTACAATACACACTTATTTCTTATTTAAATATACAATAGTGTGACATGTTGCGAAATCTGAGCCCCCCCCCACACCAGCAGTGACGCGGTGGGTGAGTCAGCGCT